TACCGTACCAAAATGGTCCGTTTGATAGTGGTTAGACAGAAAGCAGTTAGCACTACCCTTGATATGTTCTTAACCAATGGAATGATGCATGATGACGGCTTAGATCAATCATCAGTGGTTAGTGGTGATCCATTATCACAGGTTGTATATTCAACTACATCATTCATAATACAGGCCAATTATCGTGGCATCAAAAAGGCCGTACGTGACCGGTCTCTAGCAGATGTCCCCTGGCTTCTGCAGTTACGTACCAACCATTCTTCCTCAGGTACCTCAAGAACACCTGGCTCTCCATAGTATGGGCAGCCGGGAAGTGTCAACCGCTCTCACAGCTTTGTCAGCGTTCAAGTTCTCTCAGACCACTATCCACCTCTCTCATCCTTACCTTTTAGTATTCCTTCACATCTCACAGTTAGTAATCCCACCTCATCTATAATTTCATCAAGCTCTGCAGCTTTCGACAACAGCCTGAGTCCACAAGGCAGCATTCTTGGTCTCCTTAAAGCGTGCCCCGAATTACACATTGAGGACTTCAATTTTCGCACCCTTCGTCAAATTGACCAACAAGCTTCATTGGTCAAAACTCTGGCGAATCGGGCCATGAATGTATTCTGTTTGTGAGACATGCATATAGGACCAAAGTGTGGTTATTCACTTAACCTCTTCCGGTCAATACGGTGAGACCGCAAAATTCACCCTTCAAGTTTCGGCGATTTGATGACTAGTTCTCACGGCCTTGCAGGTGTAGGCATAGCACTAAGCACTAGGGCACCAAGCTCACTACTAGATTGGATCCCAGTTGATAGTCACCTATGTGCTATCCGGCTGAACGGCACAATAAGAACTAAAAGGAATGGTGAAACTTGCCATTGTCTCTTTGTAATCTCTGCTTATGCACCCACTGACTGCAGTTCTAATGAAATAAAGTATGAGTTCTGCCGAAAACTGTCTGGCCTCCTTCTGAAAGCCAGATGTTCAGACTTGGTGGTTGTTGCAGGTGATTTCAATGCACAGGTGAGTAGACTGAGTCAAGTAGAAAGGCACTTAGGTGGCACTTTCGGTATCCTGGCTGAACGAACAGATAACGGTAATCGCCTACTACGGCTGTACTCAGATAACCATCTTTTTCTAGGAAGCACAAACTTCAGACATAAAGAAAGATATTGTCTGACATGGCATCTACCGAGCTGAACTCAGCTATGGACACAGGTAGACCACATTAGTATCAGTCATCACTGGAGATGGTCAGTGGAAGACTTCCGCCTCTTCTGTGGCACGTGTTTGGATAGTGTTTGTTTGGGTGTGTATGTCTGGGTCTCAATGGGCGTAGAAAAACTTAAGCAACGAGACCATCACGAGTGCAGCTTGACAATGAGAGCACTAAGGCCACTTCCAGTGAGAAACTGGCCAGGGAGTTATTGGAATAGAACACCATCACTTATTCAGACGAAGCGTAGTGCCATCTCCAGTCTGCTGAGTTGAAAACCGTAGCCGAATCTCAAAGAGTGGTTAGAAGGAGCCAGTGAATATCAGCAGCTTTTTCTGAATTAATGGGTGCACGCGAACTCATCTATGCAGACTGTGAGTACAATGAGGAGCGAACGCAACTTAAATATGGGCTCATAGAAAGTCTCTTCAATGACCTTGAACAGTGGTGGGCAGCAAGGCTAAAGAGATGGAAAAGATAGCGGTGATTGGTAACAGCAGACAATTATTTAGATTTATTAAGGAAACTGCGACGAAAAGGTCAACGGTTAGTGAGACTGTAGCAGAGAAGGATGGGTCCGCAGTTCACTCGCAGGGGAGACGACTGGAACGATGGGCAGAGCACTTCGAGGAACAGTTTAGCTGGCCTCCAGCTACTGTGTTGCTTGCTATCTAGTTGGATCCTAAATGGAACACTTCAATAGGCTCTCCAATACTTGCAGAAGTCGAGAAAACAGTAACTTAAAACGAGGAATGCCAACAGGACCTGAAGCATATAAGGACGGTAGTAGTGTTGTTAGTCAAGTTAACTGAAGTGTTAACTAGTGTATGGGAATCAAATATGATCCCCTCTGACTGGTCTGATTCACCGATTATCTCAGTCTTCAAGAAAGGCCAGAAGTCCTCTTGTAATAACCACAGAGGAATCAGCCTGACGAACATAGTGTCCAAGATCCTAGGTTTTACAATTCTTCGACGCCTGAGTGGAGCTCGGAAACAGCAAGCCCGGGAAAACCAGACAGACTTCAAAACTGGTCGTCGGTGTAACGACCGAATATCCACACTCCACCTGGTTTTGGAACAGAGGCACGCTTGCTGACGCCCTACAGTAGCTGTATTTCTCGGCCTGAAGGCGGCATTTGACTCCGTCGATCGGGAAATCTTGTGGCCGTGTCTCTCACCGAAAGGGGTACCGAGTAAGTATATCAACTTATTCAAGGCTCTTAATTCGAACATATTTGGACGTGTTAGGGCGTATGGGAAGATGCTAGGTGAGCTGTATACGTCTAGTGGTGTTCGTCACGGATGCCCACTTTCTCCATTCTTATTCTGTTTACCATAGTTCTTATGGAGATTTCCCTCTCGTCATCTGACTGCACAGGAATTGACCCGACCACAGGGGAATTTCGATAGACCTGGAATACGCAGATGATATAATCATGTTGGGTGAAAACGCTGGCAGGATACAGAGTCCTCTGGACACCTTGAGTAGTAATTTGAGAATGTTTGCGATGCGTTTCTCACCACCCAAATGCAAATTGTTGCTCGAGGACTGGTCTTCTACAATGTCACAGCTAACAGTAGAGCATGAAGTGGTTGATCTCGTTGAACACTTCACTTACGTGGGGAGTTTGATCAGCACGTATACAAAAGGCTTGTTTGGCTTTTGCCAACTTACACCATCTGTGGCGCCGCCGTGACATCCTATTGTGTATTAAGGATCGAGTTTACTGTGGTGAAGTTAACTCTATTCTAGTGTTTGGATGTAAAATATGACCATTGAAGGTAGAATGTATGAGAGGGCTTCAGGTGTTTGACCACGTTTGGCTTCGTAGCATAGGCCATGTTTCGTGGTGTCACCAAGTGAGTAGTGCAGAAGCCAGACGTCGTAGAGTTGTAGGGAGGAGAGGAGAGGTAAGTCAGTTGATATGGTTGCGAGCCTTCGTGGACTGGGATGGCTGGCTGGGATATGTGTTACATATGCCTAACCATTATCTGCTTCGTCGCACAATGTTGTCCAAAGTAGGTTCATGGAGGAAAAGGGAGTGGGTTGGTCAGACTACAACATGGCATGACTGTATGAAGTCGTTGACTGTTAGTTTGAGGGATGTAGGAAGATGCAGACTAACCGTGGAGCAAGAGAAACCAGTGGTTGAATACTTTAGGTGATGATATGACTGAGAATGGTTATCAGTTGGGGGCAGATGCATACACATATTATCCTCACCTTAACCTCTATGCTTGATTTCATCATTTTGTCACTTCTTCATCCTCTCGTTTACTACTTCCTATTTCTTTTAACTATTTTTTCTTCCCTTCTTCATCTTCCATTTTATTGCCTTGTTAGTTGATGTACTGATCTGAGATATGTAGCAACTTTGACCGTCATGCAGTTACATTGAGGTAGGCAGTGGCTCGGCTGTGTAGTACATGTCCAAGCCATTTTAGCCGGTGAAGGTTCACAACCTCACCAATCGACTTACAGGCCTTCTTTTCCTAGAACCTTTCCTCACACGGTGATTCGACTAGACGCGAGCAATGCTACGAAGAGACCTGTGATCGAAAACCTGTAACTGCTTGATATCTTGTACTTTTGACGGCAATGTCTCTCTTAAGTAGTATAATAGTTCGTAACGGACTGCAGGATAGTATACTCTTCCTTTGATTAATAGTCGGATATCTCGCCAGTAGACGCCAGAGATGGCACAAGTTAGCAAATGCCAAACAGGTTTTCTGTATCTCAGCTGAGATTTCGTTGAAAACCACCTTGTTCAGGCTGATGGAGCTCCTGAGGTTATTGAATGAGTCGGGACATTGCACAGCTTCACTTCCTATCATTAAATTGGGAATACTTGCAGCAGACCAGTCTTGTCGCATCATCTTACATTTGACAGGTGTCAGCGAAACGCATCCCAACCAAACACTTAGAATTCTGGTCAGCACTTTCAGATGACCCTGCATTTTTTCAGGGTCTTCGAGGAAGTTGATCAATCCCCGTGAAGTTAGACGTGGAGCAGACTTAAAATTCGTGACCCTTTTCGAGTAACTGAAAACCTAGATCACAATCTTGGGGAACTATGAGTAAAAAAGCCATACATTGATGGCAGTGACATAACTGCAAATCTTTCTCATTATTCTTATGGGCCTTAATCTTCAATTATACCTCTGTTGTTCAGTCACTTTTGGTTGCAAATATTTCTCTTGATTTTACGACTGGGAATTAAAAACAGACTTGAGACAATGGGAATCTCACCGTATTTAAGTGAATATTCCTTTATGCTATAGTAGTTACTAAATATTTTAGTGTTTAATGGTGACCAATGCACGCTATGCAAGTGCTTCAATTGTTCCTCGATTCTGTTTTACTTGATAACACTGTTTTACTGTTTAATGTTGCTGCATGTAATGCTGATGTACTGTTGACAAGAATAGTACAAAGGGGATTCATTTTTATATTAAATCACGATTACTCATCCCCTTCAACAAGTTTAAACTTCAAAGTAATTGTAAAGATGTGTAGGTCAGTTAGTATTTGATGGCTAACCGTTGGGTCTCAGCTTCATAAAGCCTCTCCACCATACTTCAATCTAAGTAATCAACTAGTTTAAATCCTTCACATAACACATGTGGTTCATAGTTTAGGTGTAACACTTTCCACAAGAGTTCTAGTTGAAGAGAAGTCATAAAAGTTGTACATAGTGGATTATTCACAACATATTTGAATCTGACAATAGTTACTTTACTTATCTTTATTATTCTGTTGTAATATCTTACTGTTTTTCTTTTTATTCCAGAAATCTCTATCACTGCACTAATTTTTCGATTAGAAATGTATTTAGTTATCTTTCTAAATTATGGAACAATTGTTAGTAGCAGCAGTAGTAGTAGTACTTTCGGCTACATATTTCTCTATAGGCTTATATGATGAGTTATCCTCCAGATGCCTCACGTTCATGTCATGAGGCTGATGGTCGAAGTGATCGAAGTGGGGGTAGTGGTGGAGCAACTAGTGGAAGTGGTGGTGGTGTTTATGGGACGTTGTGTAGTGCAATCGGAGGTGGTGGTAAATGGTCAACTACTTCTGGATTTTATGATGTTGGACCTGATCCATTATTTTCTTTGGCTCCATCGACCACAAATGAAAAAATTATTTCCAATTGGAAGAAATGGTCATTAGGCTTGGATTATCTACTTCAAGATAGTGAAGGAGTTTCTCTTTTCAAATCCTATCTACAGTATGAAGGCTGCGCAAACCTTCTTGACTTTTGGTTTGCTTGTCAAGGTTTTCGAAGTAAAGTAGATCCTTCTGATCACAGAAAGATTACACAGTTGATCAAAGCAATTTATCGTACTTATATTCGTGGAGCTAGCAGCAGTCTTAATTCTCAACCTCTCATGTATTTAGGAAAACAACAATCTACTGGTCCCTTGTTACAGAATCGAAGTGAGCCTATTCGTCTCAGATCAGAGACTCGACACGCTATTACAGAAAGAATTTCTCGAAAGCATGCTTTAGATCAAACTGTGTTCGATTCAGCTCAGGCGGAAGTCGAACATTTTCTACGCACAACAGCATATCCTGCTTTTCTTAAATCTGATGTGTATGTTGATTTCCTGCAAACAGCTCTAGAAGGTTCTACTCACAAGTTTCCTTCTTGGGAACAGTCAGCACCTACCTCTGTATTTTCATTCAATGTTGACAAACAATTGAACATAGCCACTACCACTGGTCTGTCAGAATGCCCACCGAATGTGACATTAGGAGGGAAAGTTCTTCCCACGTTGGATGAAGATCGTGAACTACAATCGGAAGAACTGTCTTTATCAGACCCTTTAAGGCGGATTCATCGACCATGCTGTCATATTGTATCATCCAGTGATACAGCTGCTGTAACTCCTCATTGCCAACACTGTAATAAATGTCATTTATATAATCCATGTTTACCAATGGAATGCTCTCAGTCTGTTTTGAAACCACCATGGTGTTACCAACAGTCACCATCTGTTTCGACTGGTTCAACACCAGCTCCTCTAACTATGGAGAATTTACAGATGACACGATTTTATCGAACTGAAATGTCACTACAACGACCTTATCTCAACCAGTCTCATATTTCGCATATTACAAGGCCAAGTCAAGAAGGCGAACTCACTAGTCATCCACATGTATCACGTTTATGCAGTTCAACACCCTGGCGTTTTCCCACTCGTCCTAACTATGTCTACACTCATTGGGCAGATGCTGTATGGTAAGTGAGATTTATTTACTTATTTATTAGTGTATGTATGAACAAATATTATTTCTTGACTTAGCACAAATTATTGATTCACCTAGACCATATAAAGGCATAGTTTAGGTTATCTTCCAGTTTTCAATTCAGTCAATTGTTGACTACAAGATTATGAGGTATAAAGTTGGTCCTGTCTACTCTGATTATGGAGGTCTCCTTCTCAGCATCCAACTACACAGGGATTAACCTAATCACAGGAGAATTTTTGTCTAGCCTAGGATACACAGATGACATAGTCCTGTTAGGTGAGGACGGTGACAAGATGCAGAATCCTCTGAACACCTTGAGTGACAAATCGTCAAGCTTTCATCGTCGAATCGTATTCACCATGCGAGTGAGAGACTAACCTCACTCTCCTTCTTCTGTATGGAGAGGTCAGATTAAAGGTGTTTCATTGCGATCGCTTCCACAAAGAGTAGCAATTCCTAAGTTTTCTGCATATTAATTATTTTAAAAGCATTCAAAGTTCCAACATGATGTCCTGTGTATATGAGATGTCTGACAACTGTACTGATCAGAATTCTATATCCTTTCAATCACAAATTCTTGTGTATATACTCAGTGAACCAAATGGATTCTCTTCTCTCAGTTCTTTCAATACACACTTACTACCTGAAGTACATGTGAATTCATAAATACAGTTGGAGGTGATATGAACTGGGTAATTATCCAATTTGGACTGGTTTAGCAAGTATATAGTACCGTATACTGATCAAAGTTTACCTTCAGGAAACCTCCTTCTCAGTGCTCCTCCATTGATTCTTGCATCTATTCACTTGAATACTGAATCTTCATTGAATATAAGGTGTTTAGTGTTTATTTCTCTTGATGTCTTCTTTTAAGATATTCATTCTATTGAAGACACTTGTCAATAAAGTTCAACTTTCCCTCTAACTTGTTTGTATACAGAACATAATTTCATAGCTTTGTTGTTAAGTGTTTTGATTAGCTCACCTTAAATTCCTTTAAAAAATAATCAGAGTAGAAAAAACGTTGAAATTATTACACTTCGTAGAAGCGATTGCAATGAAACACCTTCAATCTGACCTCTGCATACAGAAGAAGGAGAGTGAGGTACATCTCTCACTCCCATGGTGAATATCAACATAGGACCAGACATAACTGTGTAACGGTCCAACTTCCCGCCACACCTCAAATCACTACATCAAGTAGAAAGGTAGTGAGGTGCAAGATGAAGGAAGATAAGAGAATGCAGTCAAAAGAAATATAAAGTACGAGAAGAAAGAAAGGAGGAATGAGAAAGTGATGAGATTCGGTGTAGCATCGTTAAGATGAGGATAATGTGTATGGCGATACATCTGCGCCCCTAATATCGGTTCTCAGCCATGTGATCAGGTAGAGTCTCCAACTACTCACTGGTTCCTCTTGTCCCGCGAACAGACCCCAACCACCTAGTCTGCATCGCCCTACATGGCTTAAACCAGCAGTCAGAGACTTCATACATTGGTGCCATGTTTTAGTCTGGCCACCTGGAGCCTTTTTCCAGCCTGCACCTACTTCAGCCAACATTGTGTGACGAGACAGTCGGTGACTAGGCATACGTAGTACGTGTCAGAGCCAACCATCTCAGTCGATGAAGGTTCATAACCTCGTCAACTGATTTACCTCTTCTCCCTAAAACTCTACACCTGACTTCTGCATTACTCATGTGGTGACACCAAGGAATACGGCCTATATAATTCGATCCTGTTCTATTTTCATTTTCATAGCCTTACTCCTTGTTTATTTGTTTATTATTTCTTCTTTCTTGCATATTATATAAATTATCAATGACTTTGTTGTACAATTGATAACCAATACACGTTTAGATTGTCTGTAACAGCTGAAGAGTATTCATGAAATCAAATGATGATGTCATCATTTTATCATTCGAAATTGAATCTAATCACTGTGTTTTGTTGTTGTTGTTGTTTATTTGCTGTTGTATCAGTCCACCGTCTATGGATCCACGTTTAGGTAATTTACCTAGTCAACCTCCTAATCCATATCATATATCCTATGCACCAGTTTCAGCGCGTGATTCAGAACATCATAGTCTATCAAGTGATGCACGAACTGATGATACACATTCACATACGGATAGTAGTCAGTAAGTGTTAAAGTTTAATATCTGTTTGATTATAATTTTGTCATTATTATTATTATCATGGGTTACCTTGTGGAACTTCAAAAGAACGGTGAGCGACCTAAGTCTTTTCAAGAACTGGCATGGAATTATGCTCCTGTTCACTTGAAGCACAATATCTGGCCCGTATCATCCAAGAGAGACTAAAAAATGCTCTTGATTCAAAATGACGACCCTAACAGGCTGACTGGCTTCAGGAAAAATAGATCATGAGTGGATCAAATTGAAACGTTATGCATCATCATAAAACAGAGCATAGAAGGACAATCAACTCAACTCAACCCCAACATCATCGACTTTGAAAAGATCTTCGACAGCATCGATCGAGAAGTGATTTGGCAGGAAGCTGCTTCAACACCATGTTTTCAGTGCTACAAACCTTTATCAACCTCATTCAACAGCAGCTATATGCTGTATAAGGATGTTACATGCCAAGTGATTCATAATGGAAAGCTCATTGATGCCTTTAAAGTGAAGACAGGGGACAGGAGTAATACAAGTTTGCCGCCTACTATCACTATCACCCATGATCTTCCTGATTATGGTCGACTAGACTGGATAATGCAACAAACTGTGAGGGGCGAGAAGATGGACATATGTTGGCTGAACCGATGAGAAGACCCCAGAAGAAGATTTAAATTTCCCCGATGATTTATGTCTAGTGTCGCACGAACTCGAGGATCTACAGGAGAAAACTAGCAAGTTGACAGAATAAGCTAGGTGACGGGACTTCAAGTGAACGTAGAGAAGACAGAGGTGATGGAGATATTCAATCGTCATCATCATCAACAATAACAACAACAAGCACTAATCACCATCAGCAAGAGAAATCTAAACGAAGTTGTCTCTTTCACCTACATAGGCACCATCGTCTCAAATACAGATGGCGGCAGCATGGGCGAGGATGTCAAAACCAGGATCAGAGAGACAGTGAGACAGACCTTCATTAACCTGAAATAATCAGTGTGGAGATCTACTGCATTTAGCATAAAGCATGAACAACATCTGGATTTTCAACACCAACGTCAAGTCAGTAGTTCTATGGTATGGTTCGGAGACTTGATGCTTTACAAAAAGCATTTCCAAAAAACTATGGACATACGTCGTCAACAGCTGCCACCTTCGCTCACTCGATACTGAAGACTGAGAAGAGATGGCCAGAATAATAAGAATAAACAACGAGGAACTCAGGGAACGAACGAACCAACCAACAATCTATTATCGAAAAAAAATATGCAGAAGGAAGTGGAGATGGATTTGGCATGCACTGAGGACGCCATTCGCGGTCACCACGCGTCAGACCAGGCCCTCGAGTGGAAGCCAAATAGGAAACGACGAGTAAGGTTTCCGAGGGTGACATGGAGGAGATTGTGTAAAGGGGAAATGAAAGCTTGTGAGCAGTGGTGGAGCTAGGTTGAGAAGACTGCAGAGAACAAAGTAGAATGGAGACGTGCTACTGAACCCCTATGTTCCACTAGGAACACAAGGGAAAAGCAATAAAACCGAAAATAAATGTTATTATAATTGACTGATGACAGATGTGTTGTATCTGGCGAGCTAATAATACACTTTTGTTCGAGATATTATACTACTGCAACTGTTTGTTGTTTTCACCGTTGGAATTTATGCTCAATAATGTTGGTGGTAAGTTATGTTATACATTTTGACAAGTATGATGGTTTAATGGTTCCCTTCTCATCTAACTGAACTTACTGATACTTGAACAAGCAACTTTAAAGGCCATCTTAACAACTACTGAAATAATCCATTAGACCAATGATGGATAGTATAGAAGTGGAGAATGGGTGAAACATATTTAGTGACAATTTGAGTGGTACTTCAGTTATCCAGTATCCAATCATAAACAGATAAACAAAATCAACGTAAAACCTTGTACATAATGTACTGGTGAATAGGAAAAGAGTGATATAAGGTAGAAAAAGTTGTGTGACAGAATAAATCATTTAAAGATAACGGTTTGTTCAAATATTCAACCTGTTGAAGATGTCAAAGAGTGACTGATTTTTACCCATATCACCAAAAGTTATCAACTATTGTTTCCTATTGTCTCAGGTAGTCTACATCTGTCTACATGACTCAGACCCTCTTGCAATCTAATCTTTCTCTAGCATTGCACGTCGTGGTAGGTGATAGTGACCCAGCATGTGAAGTACATATTCAAGCTATCTCAGTCGATCAAGGTTCACAAACTTATCAATCGATTAACCTATCTTACCTCATATCCTTTGGCTAATCTTAACATTGTTCATATTAGTGATTCCATCGAATATAACCAATGTTACGTTGACATCTATAATCAAAAGACTATTACCAATTTATGTCTTCTACTTTCAACAGCTATGTCTCAAAGATGTACTACAGTGCAGTATACTCGTTCTCTGATTAGTGAATGACACAATAACTGAAATTGAAAACACTATATCAGCTGATGAGTCACAGATATGACGAAAAACTGTTCTAGTTAATCCATTACTAGCCGGTAATGCTTGTTAGATAGAATAGAGTAAGAAGGTGAATTAGAAGCGCCTTACACATTAATACATCAAGATAGCAAGATGGAATATAGAGAAAGAAATACAAAATGATAAGAGAAAAGGAAGATATAATGGAGTAATGAAGTTCAGTAAGCTGATTACACTAAAGATGTATATATAGTTAGACTTGTCATTACTTATTATCTATTTGCCTAGTCTACTTTAAGAGTATCATTTTACTATGCTGGAATAAAATGTTTTTAATTGTTGTTGTTGATTCTTGTTTTTCACTTTCAAAATAAGCGTATATGATTCATTGTTTAAGCGCATAGAGTTTTCTATATAATAATATTGGTCTCTCTATCTCTCTCTCTCTCTCCCTCTCCATTCTATGCATTCTTGTCAAATTGAGATGAAAGGGGATTTGTATTATTTATTTTTTCACTTTAACACATTATTATTATTGTCATATGATAGAAAAATTGATTCTTCTAAATGGAATGTTGTTTCTTAGTGTCCATCAGAAAAAAGTGTAACCGTTAAATCGAAATAATAATAATAATAATGCCGTATGACTAAACTTACATGCTATTATACACAGCATAAAAATGTATGTTTCTCAGGATGTTTTATCAAATCATTTATCGCTGTAAAATTTAAACTTTACTTTCGCGCCTTTATCACCCCGCGCCATGTTATCGCGGCGATTTAAGATACTAAACGCTGATTGGTTCATTTCACACGATTTGTTTTTCTTGACCAAGGTCACCCGAAACGTAGTATATATATATATATATATAATTTGTCCCTTGGGATCCTAATGGAACATAGGGCTTCAGTAACACGTCTCCAATGCGCTCTATTCTCTGAAATCTTTTGAACCTGGCTCCACGACAGCCCACAACCTCTCATTTCTTCCTCGCACGATCTCCTCCATATCACCCTCAACTGCGATACCCAATTCGTCTCTTCCCATTTGGATTGTACTCCAGAGCCTGGCCTGACGTGTGATATCCCCAGTCGGCCTTCTCAGTGTATGCCCAGTCCAATCCATCTCCACTTCCTTCCACTGCATATTTGTTGAGCGATGAGTTCTTGATTAGTTCGTTGCCAGAGTGAGTTCATTGTTACCTATTCTTTGTAGCCATCTGAGGTTCAGTAACGAGCCGGCGTAGACGGCAGTTGTTGATGAATATCTGTAGTTTGTAGGAAATACTTTTCGTAATGCCCCAAGTCTCTCAACCATACAGGAGCACTGATTTTACGTTGGTGTTGAAAATCCGGATGTTGTTCCACATGCCGAATGCAGAAGATCTCCACACAGGTTTCAGGCTAATGAAAGCCTGTCTTGCTTTTCCGATTCTGACTTTGACATCCTCGTCTGTGCTGCCGCCGCCTGTAGTTGAAATAGTGCTTCCTAGATAGGTGAAGGAGGCTACTTCCTTTAAGTTTCTCTCGTTGATGGTGGTTGGAGTTTGTTGTTGTTGTTGGTGTTATTGGTTGGGCATCTTCATCATCTCTGTCTTGTCCATATTCACTTGAAGTCCCATCTTCGCTGCCTCGCCTCTTCTGCCAACTTGTTAGTTTTCGCCTTTAGATCTTCAAGTTTGTGCGACACCAGACATATATATATATTGAAGGTGAAATAAAAGTTTGTATCGCGGCCAGGTTCGAACCAGCTACCACCGGGTTTCCGTTCCGGTACTCTACTGACTGAGCTACAAGGTTCGACTGCTGACCGGATTTTTATTTCACTTCATCAATCACATTCAGGGTTCTGCCCAACTACCATGTGAATTGGTAATGCATTACTACAGCTTTATCGTATTCAAGCTGGTTGCTGCCTAGTCAGTAGTTTTCATCCAATCCAAATCTAAGTGAATTGGATAAGGGGTAAGCATCATATTGATTATCCTTCTGATGTTCTCAGATAGGTGATATATCATACTTTTTATTCCCTTTATAAGCTATCAGTGTCCAGTGGTATAAGTCATTTGATATATTCCGGTGGTAAACTCAACACTAAATACATCCTGTAAACTTAAACATCAATACATACATTATATGCGAACCTAGATGAATGATAAAGTTGACGATCTAAACAAACAAAACAAGTAACAAGCCATAACAAGTCACAACTATAAAATTGATCAGTAAACCCAAAGTAAAATACAACGTGATAGTAGTACAGGAATATGATTACATCTCATGATGGTAGGAATTCTGATGACAGAAGGAAAACAACAAAAATCGTATAGCTTAATGACAAAACGGAAGATTATATGAAACATGTCGCGTGATGTATTAGCGTTATACATTTCGAACAATCTGATCCCTCACACATGGATTTGTCAAACTACTTATGTGAAAATTTACAAAAAAAGATGAATGAAGTTAGTAGGAAACATAGGAGGAATAGGAGGGGAGAGAAAAACTAAAAAGTCTTACTCTTGGTATGAAAATTAAAGT